TACCCCAGTTAACAAATAATGTAACTGTTCGTGAAAATCCAGAAATTGTATTGCAAAATTTAACTTATAAATTATAAAAATACAACGAATTCAATAATATTGTATATCATGATTATAATTGTTAGTGTCATAATAATTGGAGTAATTATAAAGAAAATAATAATGAAGAAAACAGAAAATCGAAGAAAGAAGATTGTCGAAATCCAGGAGGATCTTTCGACTAAAGGTGGAGGAGCTACAGCTTCGATATAAGACGCACTGGGTGCGTCTTATATAGAAAATTGCTGACTCTGCAGTTTGCGAATAGAAAAAGGTATATAAAGCGTCGCATACGTTAATTTAATTTAAGTTCTTCAACTATTGTATTAGAGTGAACATCTGTCTGTTTAAAATAAAATAAATAAGTTCCTTTTTAAAAATCGGTCTTTGATTTGCGAAAAGAAAACTCGCGCATGTCCTGTCATGGTCGCCACTAAATGTCGCGAATCATAAAGCCGGATCCAGACCAACCGCGCCGCGCTGTTTAAAGCAGCGCAGCTCGGCACGACGCCTTCGGTTTGGACGACAAGCCGCGCAAGTTTGAGCAAGAACGCGCTGTTTTGTGCACGATCGAAAGGCCGATTTACATCAGACGAGCGAATGCTCATTCTATCCCCACTCTATCATATTCTTTTAGTGTAAACAGATGTAGAGCATTCTTTCGTTGTTCTATCTGTGTTCTCAAAGATTCTATGGAATATTCCAGGAATGTTCGATCGCTTGATGTAAACGGCATTAGAGCGTGCGAACAATTGCTTAGAGCGTTCTTGCGTGTTCGGACGTGCTCGCTCATCGGAGCGGTCTCTTCAAAGCGTTCTTGTGTTCTAGCGGTTTGAATGCATATTTATCGAATGTAATCATGGAATGGTCTCAGGAAAAATGTCTATTAATGGTAGAAGCCTACCGAAATAGCAGGTGTCTGTGGGATCCGACCTTTGAACATTATAAAAATACAACTCGCAAACAAGATGCTTGGCAAGAAATTGCAAACATACTAGAATGTAGTGGTGAAGAAGCAAAAAGAAAGATGGACTCACTTCTCGCATCTTACCGCCGTGAAAGGTAAAAAACAATGACTACGAAATTAGGCAGCGGCGCCGACTGCACTTATAATTCAAAATGGTTTGCTTTTAAAAGTATGCACTTTTTGATGGATAAATATAAACCGAGGAAAACATTTGATTGCGACACTAACCAAAATAAGAACATGGTGAGTAGGTACCTATGTTTATTTATTATATTAAATGGTAGGTACATTTATAACATATTCAGAAAAGGTGTCCATAGAAATTAGTTATGCAATTATGCAATATTGTTTTTCCATGGCAAAATATCAGCAAAATTAAAATAGTCTGAAAATTCTTGCCGTATATTTTCACATTGTAAAGTATGTCTTCGTCCTGTGTTGGGTAATGGGAAAAATGATGATAAACGATCCATATTTCTCCACTGACCTGGAGTAACAACGCCATCTTCAATTTTGTCCATCATGCCCGGTGAATTATATAGCTTTCTAGATGCTTTCCTTTTCATCAAATAATTATTTAGGTTTACGCAGGCCATAATGATGAGAGATGCTTTATCTGGATGTAGTAACATAGGTTTTCGTAATACACGAAAAACTGTTGAAAGTATTCCAAACGCATTTTCTACTATTCGTCTTGCTCTTGACAAACGATAGTTGTATATTCGTTTTCTGGACCCCTTGGCATGAGTACCAGGATACGGCTTCATGATGTGTCTTTGTAATGGGAATGCGTCATCTGCTACAAATACAAATGGCACATTCTGTTGTCTTCCTGGAAGGCTTTGGTCATTAGGCAAATTTAATTCATTACTTTGTAGTTTCTGATAGAAAGTAGTGTTTCTGAAAACTCCGCCATCTGATATTCTGCCCTGACAACCAACATCGGCGAATATAAAATTGTAGTTAGCGTCTACAATGGCCATTAATACCACACTAAATGTGGATTTATAATTAAAGAAATCACTTCCGCTCTTAATAGGTGCTTGTATGATGCAGTGCTTCCCATCTATAGCACCGACACAGTATGGGAAATTCCACTTCTCATTAAATTCCTGAGCAATTGATAGCCATGCGTTTTCTGTTGACGGTGTCTGAAATGAATTAAAACTGAATGTAGGGTGTATATCAATTAAACTGTTCTTTTAGGCTGATGAGCAGGAGAATGAGCAAAATGAACAATTAGGAACTGCGGCAGTGGGCCCTAATGGAGGAACACAGTCAGACTCAACAACACATCCGCAACCTGTAGCTTCAGTAGAATCAAGCAACACGACAACACAATCGCAACCTTCAACCCTGGGATCTAGCCACACGACAATACCACCAAAAAAAACCAAACGTGAAGATCCTCGAGTAGACGAGGTCTACCGTATTTTAAAAGATACATATGAGTCAAAAACAAAGGAAAAAGTCAAAAAGTCAAGCTTTTGGAAATCATGTAGCTTCAAAACATCGTGAGTATTCGAAACGGCCGAAAGCATATGTTGAACATTATATAAGTAATATACTGTTCGACGCTGATTTGGGGAAATTTGAGTTTGAGTCAAGTTTAGCATCAACTCCGATGTCTTCATATTCGGACAGTTCACAAAATACACTACAGCATTCTGTAATCACAGATCAACCACCACCCAACCAGATAACAACAGTATTGGAAAATAGTTCACAAAATACTGTAAAGACAGGCCAACAATTACACATTCCGGATGATAACGAAACTGAAGAAACTGGAGGGGCTTTAGTGTATTACCTTAACAGTTTTAAGTAACTTTTTCATTTTAAATTTTTTTTGTATTTCAAAAAATACTATTAACTAGGTACCTATGTTCTACGATTGTTTATTTTTCCAATAAATGTCTTGAAAATAGTGAGTATAATTTTGTTTACTTACCTTAGAGTAGTCATGCAATGCTTCATTTATCGCAGCACATACTTCATATATAGCATTACATATTGTGGATTTAGATATTTTAGAAAAATACATCAGGCTTTCATAGGAATCTCCAGTCGCCAAAAATCTTAAAGTCAGCGCTAGTCTGTCATATGCAGGAATCGAATCTCTAAAATTCGTATTTGATTTCCGAATTTTGTCGCTGATCAGAGATAATAAATGGTCAAAATCCTCTGACGCCATTCTACAAAAATTTTGGAATTGACCACTTTCTTCTTGTTCTTGCATATCCATCATCGTTTCACCTACATTATCCAGTATCCTTCGGTGCATTAAATTTGTCACCTACCAACGTCTCTTCCTTCTTTTCTTTTTAAGTGTTTGAGACAAAATAATAAATGCAGCACTTGCAATTATAATATTGCTATCAGAGTCGGACATAACGAAGCACTATCAACCACAGAATTAACATGAATGAGCAATGAGCATTCGTTCGGCTGATCTAAACATCTATGCGCAAGAATTCTAATTCTTGGTTCTCATTTTTGCTCGTTGATATTTTGGTGTAAACGCTAAACACGCGCTTTCGTTTACACTAAAAGATCAAGAAAGAATGCTCTTGTTCTAGCTCTAGGTCTTTGTTCGTTTGGTTTAAATGCACCTGAACACGATCCGTTGAACGTCGATACATCAAAGGAAAACGATTGTTTGTGCGCATTTGGTTTGGACGATGTTTTAAGTACTCTTAACTTCCTAACCTAAAGGCCGGTCCAGACGCTACGTTTTACACAACCTTTTGTCTGCGCAGTTCAACACGTTGCAGACAAAACGTTGCGTGTAGATCGGAAAATTACGCAGTTTTGAAACCTGCGCGAAGACTGTACAGTTGCAGCGATAACTGAGCTAGAGAGCATAGATTTCCAGGAACTGTGCGAACAAGTCGGTGCGTGTATACGGTAGGTCCGCTTTCCAATTCATTTTGTACCTCAGTTTCAATTAGTCAGGCGACCATGGCTGACCTACGGCAATGTTCTCGGGAGTTTCTCACACAATTTATTGCATTATACGAAAGTTTCCCATGCATTTGCCGTGTTAAATCCAAGGAGTATAGTGACAGGAATAAAAAGGGGGAAGCTTATGAGAGGTTAGTGGAAAAATACAAAGAAATCGATGTAACCGCAAACAGAGAAACAATTGTAAAAAAAATTAATTCTTTGAGAAGTGTTTATCGTAAAGAATTGGCAAAAGTGAATAAATCGATTCGATCTGTGGCTGGAGAAGACGAAATCTACAAGCCATCTTTGTGGTATTTTGATCTGTTACATTTTCTAAATGGAGACACCAAGGCAGTCTAGGAATACCATGGATGAACATGAAGAGTCTGTAGTTGACGAACCACCAAAACATTATTCAAAATCTGTCCTCGCTGTAGGTCGTGTAATAATTGACCCACAATTATCTACAGATGTATCTAGGTGAAAGATGTATCTACAGATACATCTTTCACCTAATATTTTCCCGATCCATACTTTCAGGAGGGGTGTAGTTTTGGGGGGACCTTCTGCGCAAAAAGTTGTGTAAAGCGCAACACGCAAGAACTACAGTATCCACGTTGTCCATCTTCAAATTAATACTTGTGTGGAAAATGCGAAAACGCGAAGCCAAAATTCCGAACGTATTTTCAACAACACGCCTCGCTCTAGATAGACGGTAATTAAAAATTCTTCGCTCCCTTGTTAATGCTTCTCGTCGATACGGTTTAAGAAGTTCTCGACGCATAGCAAAGGCTTCATCGCCAACAAAAGCATATTCTAAAACTCTGTTTGAACTTCCAATGCACCGGGGTTTTGGAATTCTCAACACATTGTTAACGAGCTTTTCATAAAATCGAGTGTTATTTATGACTCCACCATCTGAGATCCTACCGTTTGTGCCTGTATCACAATACAAAAATTCGCATTTGGCATTGGCTATTGCCATAAGAACAACACTGTGAGTTTTTTTATAATTGAAATAATAGGAACCACTTCCCTTAGGTGCCGCCTAAGGGATCCTAATATGTTTTCCGTCAATTGACCCCAAACAATGAGGAAATTGCCACATTCTTTGAAACTCAGATGCAACTTCCAGCCACTCCTCTTCAGTCTTGGGAAACTGAAACATGAAAATAAAATAAATTAAAAGCAAATCAAATATTATAAATTGGAACAACTAAAACATTATGAAAATTACAGAGATCGATAATTGTTTATTATTTGTAGGTGGAAGAAGATGTGCATGAAAATGCTGCTGACGGTGGATGCAGTGAAACACCTACTACTCCTCTTTCCGAAGCATCAACTTCACGTAATACTCCAACATCGCACTCTTCAACTCGTAAGAGAAAGGGAGTGCCAAAAGATGATGGCACAACTTACATTATGAACTTGGTAGGAAAGAAACTCGAGTCGTTACAGGCAGAGGATGCTTTTCAGGTGTTTGGAAAACATGTGGCTAACAAACTCAGAGACGTCCCTGCTTCACAAAACACAATCCCTCAGAAACTAATTTGCGACGTTTTATTCGAAGCAGAGTNGAAGTCTGTCGGACTTTCCTATACCAGGCTGCTGCTCCGTATGTCATCATAGGTCTAACCACAGTCACATAGAGCCAGTACAGTCTTTCAGGGGTAAGACCCCAATTTTTTCCATAAAGGATAGTCTAGCTTTGTGTAAAACTCCGTGGAAATCTCCATTCCATGACAGGGTTTTGTCTAGGATTACTCCTAGATATTTGACTTCCTTTGAGAAAGGAATTTCTTCACCTTGGATAGTTGGGCGGATTAGTCCATCCAACTTTCATTTCCTGGTGAAGGGCACAACAATTGTCTTTTGCGGGTTTATTGAGAGGTTCTCTCCCTTACACCAAGCGCAAATGGTATCTAGGGTCACCTGGAGGATTTTAGATATCCTCGGCAAACAGGTTCCTTTGACCATAACGACAATGTCATCAGCATAAGCTTGTATTTCCACACCAACGGCTTCGACTATCTCAATCAGATCATCAACTAGGAGGGACCAAAACAGGGGAGATAACACCCCTCCCTGCTGGCAGCCACCTCCCGGCCTGAAGCGTATCGTATCACCGTGGAGTGAAGTAGAAACTATTCTACTTCTAGCATATTGCGGATCCAACCCGTTATAGTTGCTTCCACTCCCCTGTCAAGAGCAGTACTTTCAAGAGATTGTGGTATTGCGTTGTTGAACGCTGCCTCTATATCCAGAAACGCACAAACTAAGATTTCTTTATCCTGCAGAGTCCTGGATACTCTACCAACTAAGTTGTGTAGAGCCAATTCTGCTGATTTTCCCGCTTGATAAGAATGTTTCTAGTTCTAGTGTTAGTTTTAGTTTTACACTAGATCTAACACAACACCTAGAACTAGAGTCATTCGGGTTTAGCCGTCTTGGAAGACGTGTGGCTAAATCCGAATGTTTCTAGTTCTCGGTCCAGTGTTAGTTCTAGTTTTACACTAGCACTATCACTAGAATTAACACAACACCTAGAACTAGAATCATTCGGGTTTAGCCGTCTTGAAAGATGTGCGGCTAAATCCGAATGGTTCTAATTCTAAGTCTAGTGTTAGTTCTAGTTTTAATTCTTATTCAGCGTTAGATAGTGATATATTTTGATTGAACGAAAAGTAGAACTAACACTAGACTTGGAATTAGAAACATTGAGATTTCGGCTCTTAAGACGGCCGAAAAGTCAGTATGTTTTAATGGTTAATGAAAAAGACCTTATTTAATGGCTATTTCTTTATTTTTCCTTTGTTTGTTGTCCAGCACAATTTACATCACATATAATTTTATTTATTTTCCGATAAGTTAACAAAAATAATTCGGTCTGATTTATTTAATTCACAGATATCCAACAAAAATAACTCAAATTACAACAAAGTTTTTAAGGTAACAGTTTTATTTTATAACATGGTTGGTGTGATAAAAGCTTTCTTTCTCGTTATTTCTTTTTTAATAAATTTTAACAGCAATGCCACAGCAATAACATAGATACATAATTTGTATATGATTTTTTTGTTCTTTATTATATACTTATATAGGTTTTTTATTTCTTTTTTTTAGTTTGAGATGATATCGTAAGCTAAAGAGATTTGTATAGGTTAAGATTTTTTTAATTAAAATTTTATTAATCCCGATTTAATTTTTATTAATTTAGATTTAATTTAAATGTTTCTTGTAGATTTGTGCGAAAAATCTTACGACATCACCCCAAAATAAATGAAAAAAAATACCTCGTAACATCACATCAACAGATTGTCTCTAGCTATATTTAATATAAGAGGGATATGTAAACACGAATATGTAGATTTTATCAAGATCCTTTTCATCTTTTTTATTTTTTTTTAATTTTATTTTAAAGACATGTAAATTTCGCGCACATTTTCGGTTTGTATTAGTATGCATTATTTTTTTTGCATCAAGATAAATATTTCTATACATATTTTAGATAAGGATTGTCGCGATTTCAATGATTAGGCCATTGATTTCTTTCACCGCTTTTCTTTTTCTCAGCAAAAACGACATTATTTAGAACTGAAACGAAAATAATATATAAAAAATTTCGTTTAATTGCGGCCGAAGAAAAGAAAATGGCACATTACAAAATTTCTTTTTTTTTTATTATTTCTGTACATCACAGAGAAAATTTAATTAGATTTGTCTCAGTTTAGTAGCCAACTCTTTTTTTTATAAAACACCCAAAATATTATGGGAATCATAGGCCTTTATTATATATATATGTATATATATTTTTGGGGTTTCGTTTGTAGTGGAAGACGAGAACCCCTCTTTAAAAAAACAANCTTCACAAAACACAATCGCTCAGAAACTAATTTGCGACGTTTTATTCGAAGCAGAGTTGGGTACGCTTACCAGAAATTCGCAAATTGTTGATATGACTAGCAAGCGTCAACATAATATGCCCCTACAATTGAGAATGCCACATACATTTTCTTCACAAGTTGGACAATACCACTCCTCCCAGCAGCCGCAGCCTATGCCACCTAACTACGTCCCAGAACAACTTCCACACCCTCAGGAGTATGAAACAATTGGTCAAATTCCGGCAGTTTCACGCATTATCCAACAGGAAGGTGGACAAGATCAACAGACACACGCCCATGAAGTTCTTGTCAACTCTTCTACTGCACACTACTTATCAGCATTTCAACCAAACTGAAGAACTTGCATACATTTTCATGCTGCTTGGCCTAACTTTTGTCAAACACTGATATTACTTTTACAGATATAAATAAAAATCTTTTATAGACAATAGTATTATTACTTACCTTCAAGTATTCATTCTTCAGCACTTTCAAAATGACTTCACATGTTTCGGGAATGATTTCATTTAACGATTGCTTCGATATAATTGTTGTGAATTCTCGGTCTTTGTAACTTCTGCCAGTTGCCAAAAATCTTAAAGTTGCTGCTAGCCGTTCATGTGGTGATATTGCTGTTCTCATACAAGTATTTTCTTTGATGATATGCGGTGTAACTAATTCCAATAAATAATTATACGTGTCAATATCCATTCTCAAGTAGTTCCGCCAATCATTAGGTTCATCACGTAATTCACGAAGTAATCTAATATGGGAAAAGTTCGGCCTTTTTAGAAGCTACGTCCGCGACCACTTTCGAACGTCGGGTACTTGTGAGACGTTCCAATCTTTTCTTTTTAACAAGACACCATATCAAAATAGACGAAAGTAGTACCTCCTCCATGACGATATCACTCAAAACTGAGCGAAATATACAGATATATCTGCACTGTGTGGACGCTTCAAAAATTACAAGTTTTCATTCCGTTTTAAGACTGCGTAGGTAAAAGGTAGTGCAAAACGTAGCGTCTGGACCGGCCTTAAAAGCCACATACATACATTTTAATATTGGTAGTCCCAAAAATGAGTGCAACTGAATGGTCACACGAAAATATTGAAAAACTTATAGATTTATACCGCAAAAACCCGAATTATAGAATCCAAAAAACAATAATTATCACATCAAAAATAAAAAGCACGATGCTTGGGTTGAAATTTCTTCAGATATGGGTTGCGATGTAGTTGATGTTAAATCAAAAATTACATCTTTATTATCGTCACATAGAAGAGGAAGAGTAAAATGAAAAAACGATGGACACGGGAAAAGGTAAATAATCACAAATTTTTTACCTAATTAAAATCAAAATAGTAAACTTTTAGGACGACAGGACATTTATGTTAGCAATTGGTTTGCACTCAGATTTTTCGATTTTTTGGCAGAAAAGGACAATCCTAAAGACAACGTTAACACACAATACGTAAGTATAAAAAGTATTTATATTATTGTTTTTTATTTTGTATGTATACTACCACTAGTAATTAGTTAACAACTACCTACAAAGTATACAAAAAATTAAGTCATTGATAGTTAGGCACGATCATCCTGCCAAGGTAAATGTCCATTTGTTTGGAAATAGTCAGCAAATTCTTCTCGTATTGCTTGAGCATTCGTCGGACTTTTTCTTGGTATTCTTTTTAAATTGCACATTGATGTTTGATTTATATTACCACTTCGCCATGATCCTTTCACTACTGTCCCGTCATCTAGCTCAGAATCAAAAGTTCTCGTAGGCGCATACATATTTCTAGAATTTTTACTTTTCCTTAGAAAATTATGTAAGTAAACTGTTGTTAACACTACGTCTCTGGCTTTATGGGGTTCAAGGTGCATGGGTTTTCTCAGCACCCTAAACACAGAGGTAAGAATACCAAATGCATTTTCTACTACACGCCGTGCTCTTGATAAGCGGTACTTTAATATTCTTTCTTTTGACCCTTTCATTCGTAGACTCCAGAATAAGGTTTCATTACATTTTCATGCAGTGCAAATGCTTCATCACCTAGAATAACATAGGGTACGTGTTTTTCTCGTCCAGGAAGTGCTTTTGCTTTCGAAAGACATAGGCTTTTTTCTTGTATTTTTTCCCATAATACACTATTCTTAAATATTCCCCCATCAGATATACGACCTTGCGAACCAACATCAGCAAAGAGAAAATTATAATTTGCATCCACAAGANTTCTAAGTCTAGTGTTAGTTCTAGTTTTAATTCTTATTCAGCGTTAGATAGTGGTATATTTTTATTGAACGAAAAGTAGAACTAACACTAGACTTGGAATTAGAAACATTGAGATTTCGGCTCTTAAGACGGCCGAAAAGTCAGTATGTTTTAATGGTTAATGAAAAAGACCTTATTTAATGGCTATTTCTTTATTTTTCCTTTGTTTGTTGTCCAGCACAATTTACATCACATATAATTTTATTTATTTTCCGATAAGTTAACAAAAATAATTCGGTCTGATTTATTTAATTCACAGATATCCAACAAAAATAACTCAAATTACAACAAAGTTTTTAAGGTAACAGTTTTATTTTATAACATGGTTGGTGTGATAAAAGCTTTCTTTCTCGTTATTTCTTTTTTAATAAATTTTAACAGCAATGCCACAGCAATAACATAGATACATAATTTGTATATGATTTTTTTGTTCTTTATTATATACTTATATAGGTTTTTTATTTCTTTTTTTTAGTTTGAGATGATATCGTAAGCTAAAGAGATTTGTATAGGTTAAGATTTTTTTAATTAAAATTTTATTAATCCCGATTTAATTTTTATTAATTTAGATTTAATTTAAATGTTTCTTGTAGATTTGTGCGAAAAATCTTACGACATCACCCCAAAATAAATGAAAAAAAATACCTCGTAACATCACATCAACAGATTGTCTCTAGCTATATTTAATATAAGAGGGATATGTAAACACGAATATGTAGATTTTATCAAGATCCTTTTCATCTTTTTTATTTTTTTTTAATTTTATTTTAAAGACATGTAAATTTCGCGCACATTTTCGGTTTGTATTAGTATGCATTATTTTTTTTGCATCAAGATAAATATTTCTATACATATTTTAGATAAGGATTGTCGCGATTTCAATGATTAGGCCATTGATTTCTTTCACCGCTTTTCTTTTTCTCAGCAAAAACGACATTATTTAGAACTGAAACGAAAATAATATATAAAAATTTTCGTTTAATTGCGGCCGAAGAAAAGAAAATGGCACATTATAAAATTTCTTTTTTTTATTATTTCTGTACATCACAGAGAAAATTTAATTAGATTTGTCTCAGTTTAGTAGCCAACTCTTTTTTTTATAAAACACCCAAAATATTATGGGAATCATAGGCCTTTATTATATATATATGTATATATATTTTTGGGGTTTCGTTTGTAGTGGAAGACGAGAACCCCTCTTTAAAAAAACAAATCCCACATAATAAGTAGTTGGAAATGAAGAAGAGCGAAGGATGTAACTTTATTTTTAGTTATTAAGTTCATTGTGCATACAGCTTTTTCACCAACTTATAATGTATGGGCTGTATACAAGTAATTTAAAATTGGAAGGAATATTATTACAGGATAATTAGCATAAATATAATTTTTGGAAGGTTAGTTGAAGATGGATTAATTACACTAATTTATAATGAAAATATATACTCGATAATTACGAAAAAATTTTATATCTAATAACACTAATAACTATTTCCAGTATAACTCAAGCACCAAGAAAAGTTATTAACATTTAATTTAGATGAGCTATTGCAGTAGATTGCCAGATCACCAAGAAGAAATCGAAGCGAGTTTATACCAAAATTAAGCTGAAACCTTCTTTTATAACCTCAATAACTTTCATTAGTTAATTCTCAATACTTTCTTCAAAAAGATTTTTTTTAAATCAGTCATGTCAAAAGATCGACAAAAATTTACAATCTAATTTTTGTTTTGTTGTTCCAAATTGACTGTTTTCCTCTGGCATCAAAAAACTATTTTAATGGTCTAAAATTGAAATGATAATTATGACCTAACACAGTTTTACACCAACAAGACTTTTTCGTTGGAGATAGTTATTATAAGGTTCGTTCCAACCGCACTTTTGACTGCCAATTGACAGTCACCAGCCTGCGCAGTTGAAAAGTGCTGTTCCATCCGACCCGTGGACGTGCCGCGGACTGGTCGGCGACAAGTTGTCATGACAAGTTTCGACGATGTACGGTTTGTCACGTTCTTTAGCGCTTGCGCATAACAGCGCATAACTCATTTCCAATTGTGCAGCCAGTCTGTTTGTATTTCTTATGGGTATCTTTACCATCAAGCGTGTCTGTCACGACGAGCTGAGTCTATATCTATGTGGCAAACTAAATTTGGAAACTGAGAAAAGGCGACGAACCACCAATTTCATCAAAGAGGAATGCGAACATCTTCTTGAATTTGTTATCAAACATAAAAACGTAATANATTCATAATAATAACCATGACAATGAGTACTCATCAAGTACTTCGTCTCTCACTTGTACTCCCGTAAATAGCCCTCTACCGCCCCAATCTGAGCCTGTACCTTTTCAAGAACAATGTCCCACATTCAATCCATCTCGTTCAACCACAACTCAAAACCACGTACCTTCTCAAGGACGATTTCCCACAAACAACTCCCAACAGCTTTCATCTCACTATATCATACTGCACAACGTTGCAATTTCCCAAGCGCAACCTCCCACACTCAACTCTCATGAAGTATCTTCACCACATTGTAGCACATTACAAAATTTTGTTGAACGTTTTATTGCCGAAAAATAAATGTTTCTTACCTGTACTTGGTCTTTTAATGCTTTGTTGAGAACTTGACAAACTTCAATCACTATTGTTGATATACTGTGTTTCGATATTTTGAAGAGATACATTAAGCTCCTAAATGAATCCCTAGACCAAAAACCGTAAGGCTACAGCTAATCTTTCTTTGGATGAAATAGCCTCTCTATAATTTGTATCATTTTTTCTTATTTCCGGGTTGATTAAATTTAACAAGATTTCAAAATCTTCCAAAGACATTCGGCAAAAATTTTCAAATTGACCAGTATTGCCCATCAGTATTTCACTTAAAAGTTGTTTTGCGCTATAAGCGGATCTACTTGCAAGCATCGGAGTTACTCAAAAACGCCGTTTTCTGTTTTGCCTTTTTTTATTNTACCATCAAGCGTGTCTGTCACGACGAGCTGAGTCTATATCTATGTGGCAAACTAAATTTGGAAACTGAGAAAAGGCGACGAACCACCAATTTCATCAAAGAGGAATGCGAACATCTTCTTGAATTTGTTATCAAACATAAAAACGTAATAGAAAAGAAAAAAGTGATGCAGTTACATGGCAAGGAAAGCAAAAACTATGTATATCTCGTATTATTGTATGTTAAAATGTGATGGTAAACAATAATGACACAACTAAAATGATAAACGTGGAATGGACATTTGCAGGGAGTTTTGCACAAAGCTAGACTATCCTTGTGGACTTGTCGCAGTCTTTGTGGAAAAAATTTGGGGTCTTACCCCTGAAAGACTGTACTGGCTCTATGTGACTGTGGTTAGACCTATGATCACATACGAAGCAGCAGCCTGGTATAGGAAAGTCCTTCCTCGAACTTTCACGAATTCAACGAGTAGCTGGATTGGCAATCTCTGGTGCGATAGGCACAACGCCAACTCTAGCAATGGAGGTTCTGCTTGGCCTATCTCCTCTGCATTTGCATATAGAGAAAGTGGCTAGAACAACCATTTACAGATTTAAGCAATATGCTCAAAACTGTTCCGACATGTCCTACCAATGGGCTGCGGAAGACATTATAAGCACTGATACTGTGCTATCAATGCCGTCAGATTTGGCGGTATCACTATCAGTGATTAATGCTCGATACCAGATTGTACTGCCTGAGCGGCA